AAGTAATAATAATAATTAATTAATAAATAAACCAATCACCCCCCCCAAAAAAGTGTCCTCATATCAGTACAATATCATATCACAGTTTTCAGAACAGACACAAGGGGACAGATAGAATGTTTACATAGTTGTGTATATGCATGGGTTAGTTAGATATACATGTAGTTCCTATCTCTCACTGCTGAGAGGGTCTGTAAGCAATAATAACCTGTTAACAATGAGCCAGATCCCAGATCTTGGTTTCAAAATACCATCCTCCAAGACAAGGAACCAGGCTCCCTGGAGAAATGGCTGATTCCAGGGATATTCCAAAGCAAGCGTAGACCATCTTGTGATACCAAAAGTAAGGAAGTATACAGAGAAAGATGTAAATGTGTTAAAAGGACATAGGCGCTAACTTAAAGGGACAGGAAAATAAATAATATAGAAAATAATTATAAACCACAGAAGAAAATAAATACTCATGACTTCATAGTGATGTAAATCCTTGAATAAATACATACTTGAGGAGAATGGACAGCTCTTATTTACAATAGAATTCCAATTAATTATTAAATAAATTAAAATCACCACTACACAAACACCACAGTGATTGATAATAATAGCTGCCAAGAGTTATGGATGAATGCTAAAACTAGACGGTAAAAAATACGTTAAAAAAAAACTGGCCAACAACAACAACAACAACAAAAAACTGGCCAACATCAAAAAGTCTACAAGTAACAAATGCTGGAGAGCATGTGGAGAAAAGGGAACTCTCCTGTACTGTTGGTAGGAATGTAAACCGGTGCAGCCACTATGGAGAACAGTATGGAAGTTCCTTACAAAACTAAAAATAGAGTTACCATATGATCCAGCAATATCCACTTCTAAGCATATATACAGAAAAGATGAAAACTCTAATCTGAAAAGATACATGCATCCCAATGTTCATAGCAGCACTATTTACAATAGCTAAGACATGGAAGAAACCTAAATGTCCATTGACGGATGAGTGGATAAAGAAGATGTGGTATACATACACAATGGAATTTACTCAGCCATAAAAGAGAATGAAGTAATGCCATTTGCAGCAACATGGATGGAACTAGAGATTACCACGCTAAGTGAAGAAAGTCAGAGAAAGACCAAAGTTGTATGAAACCACTTATATATGGAATCTAAAAAAATGATACAAATGAGCTTATTTACAAAGCAGAAATAGACTCACAGACATAGAAAACAAACTTATGGTTACCAAAGGGGAAAGGGGGGTAGGAATAAATTAAGAATTTAGGACTAACATACACACTACTATATATAAAACAGATAAATAACAAGGACTCATTGTATAGCACAGGGAACTATATTCAATATCTGTAATAACCTAGAATGGAAAAGAATATGTATAAATAACTGAATCCCTTTGCTGTACACCTGAAACATTGTAAATCAATTATACCTTATTTTTAAAAAAAGTGAGGGTATGTGCATAGTCTCTTAAGTATCTCCCCATAGGATAATTATTAATTGCAAAGGAAAATAGGAACTTCACAGTAGTGAAACTGGTAGATACTGGCTTAGGCAAGTAATCAAAGTTAACATCACCAATAATAAGACATATCAACATCTCAGTGCCTCCTGATATGATGCACTGACAAGGACACAACATCACTTTTATGGGAGGCATGCCCAAACTGCTCAATTTCAGTCTAAACATGAGAAAACGAACAAACCCATATTGATGAATATTCTACAAAATCAGCATTCTTCAAAAGTATTACGGTCATGAAAAATTAGGAAAGAAAGGAACTGTCATAGAGTGGAGGAGACTAAGGAGACATGACTAAATGCAATATAGGATCCTGGCCCCCAAAAAGGTCACCAAAACTAGAGCAGTGATATTTGAACCCGAATGAGTCTGATTCCTGGCCTGGAAAGCAGAACACCAGGGTCTGGGTCGACCATAGGCCACTGCGTATGACTTTGGGGGAATGCCTGCTGCCCTCGGACCTCAGCCTTACTATCTATGAAATGGGATGAATTTCAGTCCTCCGCCCCTCCTTCCTCAGGGCTGCCTTGGAGCTCGGGCTTTGGAAATTACGCAGGCGCGAGAGGGACTGCTTGATTGGCTATTCGTTGTTACGACTGCTCTGACAGAAACTGTCTAAGCCCCACCCCTTCCTGTCATACCTCCACGCACGCAAATCAGCCCCGGGTACGCCGCCGCCGCCACTCGCGCTCGCACGCATGGTGCGTGGTGACGTCGCGGCGGCGCGAGCGCCATCCCGGAAGCGCGAGCAA